CCTGCTTTTCCAGCCATCGTGCGGCAGTCTTCATCAAAATCATGAAAAATTTTGTGCAGCAAATGTATGATATTCCGTGAGAAAAAATTCACCATCAATTACCAGTTTTTAATTCTGACTTCTGCCTAACTCTCTATTTCATCTTCAAAGGACATTGACCAGGGCAAAAAGTGCGATCAGATCAGTTCGTTCACCTATCGAATCTATGGTCTGGCGGAAGGGCGGGGGTCGCTCTCATAGGCATTCGCTAGAGTCGAAGCCAAAAACCATTAGCATCTTTGCTAAGGAGGCGCTGCCACAGCTTACGCTCCGGTGCCACGCCCACATCTCAGACGCCATTTTGTGTGCAGTTCACAACAGTGCCGTCTATATCAGCTGCTTTGTTCCGTCCTTCTAATGATGCGCTGCTGGTCCGTTAGCGCTCCTGTGCTAGTGGAGCAGGCTATACAGGCTATACATATGAGCAATGAGACAAGATGAGATCACCGTGAAAAATCAGGACTATTCGGCCAACTTTTGTTGCTTTTGAGCAGTGTCCGGGCGAAAACTCGATTTTGAGTTTTTGTGCTTACTCGGTTCTATTTGCTATGCTGCATCTGAAAATCCACACTGGAGAGCGCGAAAACGGGGGAAAATGAAAAAGGGCTATAACGAAAAGGGAAGCGGCAAGTGGGCAGGCCTTGTACACTGTAAAATCACGCTCCCAGCGATCGTTTCGATCCTGCTGATGGCCCTGACATGGCCACCGGCCAATGCAAACGATTGACTTGAAAACGGAACCGCGAAGATTGCTCCGGAAGCTGAGAGCATGAATTCACCGCGAGGAGGACCCCGCCCACGTGCTGATTTCCATCTTGTGTGTGAGCTCCTTTTCGCCGTTTTCCCACTCTCCAGTGTGGATTTTCGGATTCAGCATAGCGAATAGGCCTGGGTAAACACAAAATCTCATGATCGAGCTTTGCCCGAATACTGCCTTCAAAGGCAGTTTTGGGCTCACGACCCAACTCTAGTATAATACACTAGAAATGGCGTGTTTTTTTAAACTAAATTTGGTGTATATCGGGAAGTAAGAAGCGCTTCATAATCTCATGTTCGCGTTTTGAAAGTTTGTAGCGTCTTATCACATATTTAATAGAGCCCAGGATCATTATCGAATACACGCTTTGCTATTTTTTGAGTTCCAGTTTTTTTTAACTTCAAATATGAAGTCTAACACGTGGATTCATGTGCTTGAAGCCGCCTTATAGAGCTTGTTTTGTTCTGTCAAACGGCACCTACTAATTTATTTATTTATTTGATACGCGCAGGCGTGCCACATTTTGGACCAGAAAAGAAAACGAATATACTCAGAGCTGAACACGGATAAACAAACAACCAGAAAAAAAAACCACCAACAGATCAAGTCCGGTCCCCAGATGTGTTGAGAATGAAGGAGGGCTAGCTTTTGGACATGTACGAATATATCAGTAGGAAGCTCGGTGGAGTCTGTCTCATGCCCCCTGCTTGTAGCAAAAGTGCTCTTAGATTACTCAACTAAAGCAATGTATTTGCGGGGACCGCGTGTGTTGATATGATATATGAAATATATAAATATGCCCGACTTATTCTGGGGAGAGAACAGTACTCCAGGGTAATATAGCGGAACGAGATAGACAGGCCTGACAAGCTAATCCCGAAGTAACGAAAGGGCGAACCGGACTGCGATCAACGGGTGGGAGAAGTAAAGATCCAAATAGCGAATGATTATCAATGGAAAAGGGTACATGGTTCCAAGTTTGGGCTAGCGAGCTGTACCTTAGCTAAAACAGATATAGTGGACTCAAACTAACATAATGGTAAGATGAGAGCTGCTAAAAATAAAAATCTTTCAAGACCATTAGTGTATTAAGCACGACTTTCGATCTTCTTTATTCAGTGCATAGATAGGGCTCAGACGATAGATCGTTGCACGTGGCTAAAGTCAGGACCATGTGAATGCTGGATTAGCGCTATCTGTAAAGATTTCATTCAGATTCAGCTGTTTTAATTTGCGTTTAAAAGATTTGCTGTTATTACATGCTAAAAGTTCTTTCGGCAAGAATTGCATCAGTTTCGTCACACGATAGAAGAAGTCGCAATTCAATAAACTTGATTTCTTACGCCTACCAATTTGTTGGTGATTAATAGAGAAACAACCCGTTCTTCCATAGATAGGTTTGAAAACCCAGTACTTGGAAGGCCGCAGTTTGGTCTCACCCTTAAAAATCCTGATATTAATCTCGCTTTGACTTGCTATAACTTTTTTGAAAATCCATATTTATTAATGTGAAAACAATCTTCAAAAGCAATAAACTTCCTCAATACAGCGCACATCCTTCTTTAATCATGTCACAAACGGGCAGATATTTATCGACTAATAAGCAAAAAAAAGTTTTTTCTAAAATCTCGTTTTTAGCTGATATAGCTTTCTACAAAATTAGTTATTATAATTGCTAAGTAGCCTGTCTTGTAGACGCAAGCCATTAGCACAAAGTAAGATGGAAGGGGCTGAAACAAAGAAGATTTCGAAAAAAATTAAAATTCAAATTTGTCAGCTTTTATCAACATTTTTTCGTAGGGCTCAAAGTCCCGAAACATGAAGTTTTTTTAAATTTATGCGTACTGAATAGCTAAACGCTTTTACAAAAGCTGACAGGAGGGCCCACACTTACGCTTGCAGAAATGAGCAGAACTTTGGCAATTGCCTTCTTCAAAAAAGTTCTATGGGCCACAGAATGACTAAAACGAGTACCCTTGTTGAGACGATGATGTCACAATCTGGGCAATTCCTAAGAAGGTAGGAGTGTGCATTTTGTAGGCAATTTCTATTACATACAGTAGCCGAACTTTCAAAAAAATGCCTTCATTCGCGCTTGAAAACTGGCCAGAAAAGTAAATGCAATAAAATTCTGATTTCGAGTGCGGTTGTGTGAAGCTTTGCAATTTTTCAACAAATGAGGCTAGAAGCATCTCAGTAACCATTAGATAGAGCATGAAAAGAGCTTTTTCACATCCTGTTTAGTCTCTGCCAAAGAATGAAGTTTGTTGGATAAAAGTTGTCCTAAAAAAGGCTAGAAAAACGCGCATTACTTTTGCACCAACCTAATATCATTTTAGGAGCATTCACTGTAATGATGCAAAGATCTTGACCAAAATACACAAAACTTTTCTTCTTCTTTCGGAATACGCATCTCCCGTCTAGAGTCCTTTCTCCAAAAAAACGAACTAAGAAAGTGCAAAAAACGTCTACTAGAATTATATTTTACAAGTGCTTTCCAATTCTGACTATCCTCAATCTCTGGCCATCCTACAGTGAAAGACTTTCTGTCTCAGGTTCACGAAGTTTGAAATACAGACGTATATGCAATGATCTAGTGTTTTGCTTTCGCATTTTAAGTTTGGAAACTAGGTTATCTGGTAAATACTGGATATTTAGTCCCTGCAGTACACGCGCAGATGGATTTTCCATTGGATACCGCAAACTAGGAGATAGATTCCTTTTCAATGCATTCAATTCCTTCGTTTGCCGTACGGCAAGATGGCTTAGCCTGTTGCCGAGCGAGATGATTTCTTGCAAGAGTTCTGATAATTCTCGCAAACTAGCATCTATAGACTTTTGCAGACCTTGAACATTGGTTTACTGGAGATTCGTTGATATTGCCTTGTTTTGCCCTGTCGCCGAAATGGCGACCTTTTCGGCAGAAGCCCGATACGGTTGTTTACCCAGCCCCCCTGCTATAAAAGCAGGGGGCTGGGAGTGATAGGCATGTCTGTTCTGTAAGCATTGTTTAGCACCCGGTCCGGGTAAAAAGGGCATTTGTTACATATTCGAATAAATCCTTTCATATTAAAGTCTGAACCACCGTTTGGCACATTTTGGTGCATCGGTCAAAAAAATCCATTTCTTTGGTCTAGTGTTTTGCTTTCGCATTTTAAGTTTGGAAACTAGGTTATCTGGTAAATACTGGATATTTAGTCCCTGCAGTACACGCGCAGATGGATTTTCCATTGGATACCGCAAACTAGGAGATAGATTCCTTTTCAATGCATTCAATTCCTTCGTTTGCCGTACGGCAAGATGGCTTAGCCTGTTGCCGAGCGAGATGATTTCTTGCAAGAGTTCTGATAATTCTCGCAAACTAGCATCTATAGACTTTTGCAGACCTTGAACATTGGTTTACTGGAGATTCGTTGATATTGCCTTGTTTTGCCCTGTCGCCGAAATGGCGACCTTTTCGGCAGAAGCCCGATACGGTTGTTTACCCAGCCCCCCTGCTATAAAAGCAGGGGGCTGGGAGTGATAGGCATGTCTGTTCTGTAAGCATTGTTTAGCACCCGGTCCGGGTAAAAAGGGCATTTGTTACATATTCGAATAAATCCTTTCATATTAAAGTCTGAACCACCGTTTGGCACATTTTGGTGCATCGGTCAAAAAAATCCATTTCTTTGGTCGAGATTCTTTATTGAATCGAAAAAGTCTAGGCCATCATACCTAGCACAAGTGGAACATTTCCCTGGCAATAAAGACTAGGACATCGTACCTAGCAACAAAAAGCCCAGGCTATCATACCTGGCAACACATACGCTACAATAAAGTAGGCTGTAAGTTAAAGCGAAAGCAAAGCACTTAAGCCGAAAAAAAGCAAAAGTGATAATGGCATTCACATTACACAAAAAACCAATAGCATACAGTGCTAAATTTTTGGGTACCTTGGTGGAAAAATGCAGAGGTTACTCCGAAGGGGTCTCGACCAGCGAGAAAAAAGCGACCAATGAGACCAATCAGCTCAATGAGCTTTAGGCTCCCGCAAGAGTGCCGAAGTGATGCCAGCGCTACGCCAGCATTTCGATCGATACACGGGTATTTCGTTGGGGACGTCAGCTAGCCCCGCCCCAACGAAATACACGTGTATCGATCGAAATGCTGGCGTAGCGCTGGCATAACTTCGGCACTCTGGCGGGAGCCTTACAATGCTGCAGACCTGATCAGCGGAGGAATTGAGCTCATCAGGGAGAGCAGAGACGCATTCCAGGTCTTGGTGGACAAGCTGGATAAGCAGTTCGACGACCTAAACGTAAAAGATAATCGTAAAGAACTGTTAGCTGAAATCGAAGAAATTGACAAAGACATGCAATACAGCGAAAAAATCGCGGCTGCTAACGACACAATGTACGTGCTAAAAGCGCGATTAAACGAAACTCGCACGAAAGCGAAGAGACTTGCAAAGAAGCTGGATATGCCAGTACATACCGAAACGGTATCGACACCTAGCGATGCAGCAATGAAAGGTGAAATCAACGGAGAAGATAGAGAGTTCTCCGCCAATGCAGGGGCATGGTTATCCGAAGACCTATTGATAAATAGCGTCGTAGAGTCAGAAGACATGATGTGTCGAACTCTTAAACCAAAACAGCTCAAAATACCGAGGTTTTATGGCGACGAAGAGGAATTCGCCGAATATTGGGCCATTTTTAGCACCCCTGCTACACGAAAACAAAGTCCTAAGTACCACAGAAAAAATGATGTTTCTCAAGGACAGCCTCAAGGGAAGGGCGGAAATTGCCGTGAAAGGAATAGGAATGGTAACAAAAAATTACCAGTGGATGATAGAAACACAGAAGAAAAAATACAGGAACAGGCCTGTAAATAGAGCCAGAGTTGTGCAAAAATTGGTCGATATGCGACCAGCAACAAATACTGCGGAAAACTGCTTAGACACACATGACAAAATACGCATGATGATAAACCAACTGGTCTCTGCCGGGCAAGATATCCGCAAGATGCAAGATGCTCTCTGGACAGAGAAAATTCTGGAAAAATTTCCATACAACATAGTGAAGAACGTGCTTACGTCAACGCAATAACTGCAAGAAATCACAGTGGACGACATAATGGAATCTCTAGACAAGCAAATTGAAGCAAAAAAATACGTGGATTCGCGTCTCAAACATCTCTCGAAAGGAGGACAACCACGAAAATGCCCAGATCATGCACACAGCGAACGTAATTATACAAACAACGTACTATACCAAAAATACGAACACGTGTGTATTTTGCAAAATGTCCAATCATACGACATCGAATTGCAGAACGGTAACCGACACTTTTGCAAGGCGAAACGTGGTCAAAGAAGAACATCTTTGTTGGAAATGCTTCTCCAACGAACACAGTGCTGGTGCCTGCACGAAACCAAATTGTTCTTGATGTGGGCGACTACATGATGTCTCCTTGTGCCCATCCTCAAACGCTCCAAACACGAACGAGCGAAATTCGAATCAAGCCACAAACAATCGCAACTACAACCATCAAAGGTCAGCGTATCGCACTGATAGATTTGATACAAGAGCAAATAGACCACAATGGCGCAATAATCATGGACGCGACTACCAAGAAAGGACAAACCAAGGACAAGTCGTAAACAACACATGTGTTGATACAGGAAACGATAATGCACAAGCGGTCAGAAACAAAGAACAATTTGTGCTTGTGACCGCGGAAGGCAATCTGTGGAACCACAGAACAAATCAGTATGAAAAAGTTCTGTTTTTCTTCGACACAAGAGCTCAAAAAACACTCATAAAAGAGAGCATTGCTGAAGAATTTTGTCTACCAACCCAGAACACGGAACACTGTACGATGTCCGTGGTAGACATACCGAATACTTCAAGAGCAAGATCGTAACGCTAAAGTCAGCACAGCCCATGGCAAAGAGATGATACTCACGGGCAAACAAAACCGGTCATAACCAACGGTTTCTCCTCGGTTCGGCTGTCCGATGAAGACAAAAATTTTCCGCAAACAAGAGAAATGGTCGTCTGCAATCCGCGAGTGCGCGGTGAACTTCAAAACCCGCAGATCCTCATCGGTATAGACTATTTTCTCGCGATGGTACCTCCAAGCGCAGTAAATATACAAATGCCGTCAGGATTGAACATTACAAAAACAGTATTTGGACCGAGTATACACGGCAAAGGGATGATCCCACCATCGCTAACTATCACCAACACTGCAATCCACGCGCTAGCTTTCATAAATGACGTCAAAGAGTCAGAAATGCTTTAGAAAATGTTTGAACTTGAGGGGCTTGGAATTTCCTCCGAAGAGTTGCAAAAAGATGAGAGCACATTCACATATTTCCAGACCTACTCAAAGAAACTTTCGTTTCAAGACGGTGTTGTGATCGCTCCGCTGCCACTCAAAGACAGCATATTTGATCTAAGCGATAACTACGCAGTGGCTTACAGAAGACTACTAGCACTTTGGCAGCTTCTGCAAAACAACGAAAACCAACGAAATTGGTACAAAATTGTTCTTGACAAATACAAACAGGACAAAGTAATAGAGGTAGCCAAAGATGATATATCTGATAAAGCCGGCACCTATTATATGCCACACTCAGGCGTTTGGCGGCTAAACAAAGCAGTACCATTACGTATAGTGTTTGACGCGTCCTCCAAGCGAAAAACACAATTTTCGCTAAACGACGTGGTGTACACCGGCGAATCCTTCGTGAACAAAATACACGTTGTGCTAACGTCGAGTCGATCGGACCAAATTATTCTCCTTTGCGACATTGAAGCCGCCTTTACGCAAATTCGACTAAATAGCGCTCACAAAGACTTATGCAGATTCTTATGGGTGAGAGACACTGAAAAAGCGCCAACAAAAGATAATATCGTCGAATATCGATTTACGAGGCTCACGTTCGGGCTGACAGCTTTTCCAAGCATCCTGAACATGGTGATTCTTGCCTTTTTGGATTGGAAAAACACACCCTTAGCAAGAGAGATTGCATCGCATCTGTATGTGGACAACATCCTCCTAAAGGTTAATTCCGTTCAAGAAGCGCTGACAAAATACCATGAAAAAGCGCTAATTGCTGAAATCGGAATGAACTTACGCGAGTACATTTCTAACTTGCAGCTTGTCAACCAAGCCATCCCTGAAAAAGACCGCTTACACGGTAAGGTCATAAAGTTTCTGGGAGTGAATTACGACACTGAGGAGGACACTTACGCTTTGAGGGTAGATATCCCGTCCAAAGAAAAGCTCACAAAACGCGATATCGTCATTCAGATAAACTCAGTGTACGATCCAATTGGCATGGCGGGACCACTTCTGGTGAAACTGAAATCTCTGATGCGAGAAATCTATAGCCCAGGATTAGACTGGAAAGAAACCATTCCTAGCCATTTCTCTTCGAAATGGAATGAGGAGTGTCAGCAGATAAACAATTGTGATTTAACTCTGCGACGTGCTCTACCGACTCCCGATAAAGGGCCGATACACCCTTTGGATATTTTCGGACGCAAGTAAAATAGCTATCGCGTCATGCACCTATCTGTGCATTGAGACTAGAAAGGTCTCCCAGCTAATAAGCGGCAAAACTCGTCTTACGCCAAAGAAAATGGTGCAAACTATACCGCGACTAGAGCTACTCAGCATACTCATAGCCACCAGATTAGCAAAAAGCATTGTAAATACAATAGATAATGCCATCGAGGATATAAAAATAGCCAACGACAGCGAAATCGCTCTCGCTTGGATTCCAAGCATGAGAAAACTGCCGCCGTTTGTCGCGAGTCAAAGAGATCGCAATTTGCGACTCAAGCATCATTTTGAATGCAAGAACAAACAGATACAGTTCTACCACGTCTTCACAAACGACAATCCAGCAGACGCTGGAACCTGCGGACTATCAGCATCAGCGATGAAAAATCATGCCTGGATAAAAGGCCCACAGTGGTTAGCGCAAAGCCCTGAAAAATGGTCGTTACGCGTAATTACCGAGGCAAATGCCGAATACGAACAGAGCGATGACGACGAAATCCAAGCGCATCCTACCGTACCGCGACCCACCAGTAGCGAGGAAGTACAGTTACTTAATGATTTGCAACGCTTTCCAAACTACAACAAGCTACTGAGAACAGTAGCCATAATCGGTAAAACATCAAAAAATGGATACAGAAGTGCAGCTTCAACTCCGAAGAGTTTCCTGTTATCAAGAACTTTAGCACGGAACAGCACATAACAGCGGAAGATATAATGTTAAGCGAAAGGCTGATAATCACCTCAGTACATCATTTTATATTTATAGAAGAACTGCAAAAGCGCTTCCGCAATGTGAAAATTATTAGAGATGAATTCGGAAGAATACGCCACGAATCGCGCTTACAAAATGCGATACTACCTCACGATACAAAATCGCCCATATTCCTCCCCAATCCGTCCGAACTGACTCGATTTATTTTGGTAAACATACACCAGAAGAACGCGCACTGTGGGAATGACCACATTTTAGCGTTAGCACGACAGCGATACTGGATACCTCAACCCATGAAAGCGATAAAAAAGTATCTCAGAAGCTGCAGCACGTGTAAAAGATGCCATGGGCTGCCATTCGGCGCTCCAGAGATGCCATCGCTACCCAAAGATAGAGTACGAATTTCCAAGCCATTCCAAAAAATTGGTTGCGATTTTCTGGGTCCTATCGACTCGCAAAACAACGAGAAGATGTATGTATGCCTGTACACGTGCTTAACTACAAGATCCATACACTTAGCTGTGGAGAACCTATCAACAGGCGCATTCCTAAACAACTTTGTAAGGGTTGTCTCACGACGAGGGGTACCACAACTCGTAAGGACAGACTGCGGCACTAATTTCAAGTTCGGTCAAAAAATCATAGAAAAGTTGTTTGAAAAAGACGACCGAAAAAATTCTGTAATGAATTACAGTGCTACTGAAGGTATAACGCGGATATTCAATCCACCAGGTGCACCGTGGATGGGTGGTGTCTGGGAAAGGTTAGTCGGCTCAGTCAAGCGCTGTTTCACTAAAGCTGTTGGCCGCCGTAAAGTTTCCTTCACTGAGTTAAGCACCGTTATGGCAAGAATTGAAGCCATCATAAACACTCGCCCACTCACAAAGCTGAGCTCAAGTGATATAACGGACATACCTTTGCGACCCATAGACTTCCTACAGGGCAACGTAAAATATGCACTCCCAAACACTAACGCGCGAGCTAATGATCTGGCTATGATCCTGAACTTATGCAGACTGCTTTACAAGCGCATGAAGCAATGGAGTTCTCAGAAGCTACTGCAGCTAAATTCTAGGACCGTTGGAATGTAGAGTACTTGACACTCCTACGCAAAATTCAAGAGAGGCACTTAAATCAACCGCGGCACACGCCTCACCACCCACGAATCGGCGAAATTGTGCTTATTGCACAAGAGCTGATACCCCGTGGTAACTGGGCCTATGGAAAGATAACAGAACTAGTCAAAAGTGCAGACGGTCTGATAAGGTCAGCCAAAATCCTTACACCAAATCATAAAATTCTACAAAGGCCCTTGAATAAGCTGTTTCCTCTAGAAATCAGATGTACTGAAGAGGCAAACATGGAAGAAACAGCAACGCTGCCAGAAAATATTCAGCAAAATGAATATCCAGTTCAGCAAACACGCGTACAACACGACACACAAGTTGACACTGGCGAAAATCTCTTGCAAGCGCAGTCTAGTAGACGAAATCCGCCTCGAGAATCCAAGACTCGCGCCTACGAAGTTATTCAAAACTTTGAACGAAGTTTGCAAAGCACATCATCCCCTCATATCTCTCGGGACATGACAATGATTAGCCTCATCCTTCTATACAGCTGCAATAGTGTGGAAGCATTGACGAAGGGACCTATGGAGTGCGCAAACGGAATACTCAACATAAGAGAGCTTGCAGAACCATTTAGGTTATGTGTGGGTAGTACATGCGAAGTATTCGAAAATTACACTCAAGCCATGTCAATAAACTTTCCTCCCGCGAAAACTAATGGGCAATTTCATGTGAACCTTACAACCCCGACATTTTCGGTTACTCAGTTATGTAAGTCTCATACATACTGCGATCACTCAAGCAGGATCATGACAACATCTTTACTGGGAAACCCACATTGCTGGCCAACAGGTGCAGTGATAACTACTGCACTGACCATGTACGCCCTAGTAACAATCTTGATGATGTTATTATGGTTGTTGAAACGGCTGCTCACACGAACGCCAAACGTATCATCTAATCCCGAGACAAGCATTGTGCTCGATAGTTTCAGTCCTAACCCATTAGGCCTATCCAATACTATAGTCATAGCGTTAGCCTTATCATCCATGAATGGCACAGCAGCATCATGCCAACATGGGTACATGCGACATATGGTCGAAGTAACTTGTCAAAATCAAGATTGTTCCTACGAATATAATGAGGAAATACTCTTTAATCGCCTACAAAAGCGTCTTTGTATCAGCGTAAGGCACGCAAATCAAACCTTGGGTACAATCAAAATCACAAAAAAGAAGATGATTATGAAATGTTCCAAGCTGTCCCATTTCTATACGCGAGATACCAGACATCGAATATTCTACACTACTAGGTGCGATGGAGCAGGGTCATGTTTCAATAATAACTGCAACACCCTCATGCACAATGAAACAATCCCAGAACTAGCATTCGCTTCGGAATTTCCAGGCTATTCCGCCTGCGAACACACATGCGGCGGGTTGCTCTGCGGGTGCTTTCTTATCACACCGGCATGCTCCTATATTCGCGTAGCGCACATCCCAAAAGATGATAAAATCTACGATGTCATCAGCTGCGTGGAATGGACCCCGGAAATCAGCTTTGAGTTGGACATGAATATTGGGGGCATAGCATTAAGTAAAGATGTAGTATTACAACCCTATCTACCGCAGCAGCTTGAGCAGATCACTCTTAATATCATCTCGCTAAGCAAGCCGCACTCCATGCTGATGGATGAGCGTTTCGCAATTGCTGAACATGAAGCTCTAAGTATCCCAAAGACTACGAGTTACCGGTGGAATGCGAAACGCGGCAGCAAGCAACTGACAATTACGAAAAGTGCACAAACCGCATGATCTGCGCTTGCGCAACGTTCAAAGTACCAAAAAATTGCCAGTGCTCAACAAAATCGCTAAGCGATGTACGGCAGGATGAAGCTAATATATTGCCAATCCATACAGCAAGCCTACAAATCGCAAAAAAGGAGTATGAAATCCTCGCAACAAGTGTCAGGATGGTGAGGTCACACTAACAATCCAATCCAAACTAATGTTTGACATCAATCAGCATAGAGTCGACTCACCTTGCTCGATCATATTTGAGTCCATAACAGGATGCTATGAATGCCAAAATGGAGCCGAAGTTGTCAGCCACTGCAAGGCCACCATCTCCTGTAACAGTGCTATGTAACGATCACTCATTCACGATCAATTGCGACGAATTCAATCGAACAACGACAACAATACTCCATTTTGATAGAGCAGCTATAGAGCAAAAATGCTATGCAATCTGCGCACAAAAAAGAATTGAGATCGATCTGGATGGAACTTTACACTACCATGCTAAGCATTTACAGAATACTCTTTTCGAAATGCAGTCAGAGAGTAGAAATTGGATAGATGCAATCAGCGATGTGCATATGTCAGACATGCAACCGCTTCTCAAAACAATAAAACAAGAATGGAAGGTTGCCGCAGCGGCCATAGCAGCAATATCACTTGCGATAGGGCTAACTTATTTGTGCGGACCAGCAGCACTAATCATGCTAATCAAGGTCGCCTGGGCCATGCTTAAAATTGCCTGGGGCATCGCCTCTGCGATAGTGACCTCAACGTTCAAACTGCTGCTCGCTATCCTATCACCGATAAAAACTAGGATACGCGGCTAATATTTGATGCAAATAAATGAGCAAATTGTACAAAGATAATGTATCATATCAAGCTTGCATAGATAATTATCATTCACGAACGTGTCGACGCCACGTGCGGTTGCATTCTTCGGCTCTCTCTCACGTAAATCTTTTTGCTTCTATTTAATTGTCTATATTGCATTCTTTTGAACTTTTTTGGTTTGATTGGATCGCCTTGAGACCGATTTTGATTGGTAGCGCTATTCTTTTCCTTACTAATTTGACTCTTTTGGATTTCTGAGTTTTTTCTTGATACTGAACTATCAAAATCACATGGCGCGTACTCGCTCTAATAAAATCCAAGGACTCAGCGCCTCTCAGAAAACACAGGAGAATCGGATTAGTGTCAATGTAGATCAAGGAAATGAATTCAGTGCTATGTCAATACATGACCTGATCAAATCGATCTCCGAGCTTAATAGGGATCCAACAATCCAAAAAATGCTTTCTGTATTAGCCGAAAAAATTTCTTCTGGATTTTCTGAAGTCCTAGAGGCAGAGAAACGTTCTCGAAGCCTGGTCATAAGTGGAATCCAGGAACCTCCGGAGGGGCTGCGCCCATCCGAACGTCGATTTTATCTACAAGACAAAGTTTGTGAGATTCTCGACGTTGTGGATGTCGACTGTGCCCCTTCGGAGGTTTACTGGATGGGTAAACCGAACAATTCGCGTTCACCCTTGATCAAAGTTGTCATGCCCTCCTCCTTTTATTGGAGGAGAGCTTTGGCAAATGCACGCCTCCTTCGTCAGACAAGTCATTCCAACGTGTACATACGAAGGAGTATGACAGAGGAGGAACGTAAGCGCGAATATGACCTAAGGCAGGAAGCACGTGAGAGGAACAAAGGGAAATCAGATCGGGAGTGGGTAATATACAGAGGGCAAGTTATCAGAATATCGGAGATACCCGTAAAGAGGTCGGGAAACCAATGATCCAGCATGGTATACGAGATAGAATAAAGATTACTATGTTGAATGCCAGAAGTCTTGTAAATAAACTGCATCACCTTCGAGCCTTTTTGATAGAGAATAAACCCGACATACTTTTTGTAACTGAAACGTGGTTAACGAATAAGATTGAAGATAGCGAAATTGTGGGGGAGTTGCCTTATTTGGTTTTACGTTCAGATAGACGAAGCCGTAAGGGAGGCGGTATTTGCTGCCTATCTAAAATGATTCTCTCAGTGAAATCATTCGTATCTGATAGTAGCACTATGTCTAATATCCTTTGTATCGATGTAACCTCACGACAACAGCCTACTTGTATGCGTTTTATCGCAGTCTACCGTCCACCAAATAGTACTACTTCGAGCGACTATAAGTTGATTGAACTATTATGTAACTTTGTGAGTGAAAATTAAAATACAATTCTTTTAGGCGATTTTAACTTACAAATTGATTGGATCAATAGATTTCCACTCAACAAGACTTCTGAAACTTTTTTTGAATTCTTTCGTCACTCTGGCTTCACACAGTATGTCCAAGAACCAACACACTGCAACCATATTCTGGATCTTGTTTTGTCTACTTCTTCTAATATCTCTGAAATTCTTACTATGTCTCCTCTCGCAACTTCTGATCACCGAATAGTTCAATTTTTTGTTTCTATAAAAGCCCTCACCCCTAATGTACTGCCTCGACCCGACTTTCGAAAGGTTGACTACGTTTCTCTCAACAGCTACCTTGCCAATATTGATTGGCTAAGCTTGTTTGATCAATACTGGTCCGCTGATGACGTTTACTACAGATTTTGCACCTTTATGTACAAGACCTTCTCGGAATTTGTTCCCTTCTCTATGGCCCAACCTCATTTGCAATACCCTAATCATATACGAAAACTTCTTGCGCAGAAAGAAAGATTATTCAATAACACATCAGATCCTCTATCCAATACCATGTACAAGAAGGTATGCAAAGATGTTGACTACCATTTAAAGAGATATCTATCCAATGAACATAATCTGGCCAAAAAAGCAAACTCCAAATTCTTTTTTGATTACATAAATCAAAAAATCAAGCCTAATCGTCATCTGCCGACCATAACTGACCAAATGGGCCGCACCTATCACACGAATGCAGAAAAAGCACAAGCTTTAGCGCGCTATTTCGCTGCTATTTTTGACTCCAGTGATCAAGCTGAACGCATAAATTGTACTGCACCCATTTCTACTGGTTACCGGTCTTTATCAAACGTTCACTTTAGTCCTTGGGAAATTCAGAAGATTTTGGCTGGTTTAAGCCCATCTCTCAGTGAACCGTTTGATGGAATTCCACAAATTGTTTTTAAAAAATGTGCCTCATCTCTTTCTATTCCTCTTGCGCATATGTTTAACATATCGATGATGCTTGGTGAGGTGCCGCAAATCTGGAAGGAGGCAATAGTCACTGTGATTCCTAAGGTCTCCAACGCACGCCTTCTTTCAGATTTTCGGCCCATCAGTCTGACTCCCACAGCCGTAAAAGTAATGGAGAAAGTTTTGCGTAACAGATTACTCTTATGGCTTGGAAAAATTAAAGTGATCCCTATGAATCAACACGGTTTTATGGAAGGGTCATCTACTGCCACTAATCTTGTAGACTCAGTTTTTGATTGGAATTTAGCACTTAATATTGGTAATTCCATTGATGTGATCTACGTTGATCTTTCCAAGGCATTTGATAGAGTTCATCATGGAAAGCTTTTGAACAGGCTGGAACAAATTGGTCTAAAAGGAAACATATTGAATTGGTTTAAGTCATATTTGCACAACAGAGGCATGACCGTCAAGGTTGAACACCACTTTTCTGATCGACAACCCTGCACAAGTGGTGTTCCACAAGGAGCAGTCCTTTCTCCATTACTCTTTCTACTATACACTGCTGAACTTCCATCTATCTTGAGCACATCCATACATCTGACAATTCAGATGTATGCAGATGATATAAAGATATATGGAAGTTATAGTAATGAGAATAAACTACAGGTTCGTTCAGCAATACGAGCGTCTCTTGGAAAAATGATGAATTGGGCTGCTCTCTCTGGTGTACCTGTGAACCTAGAAAAAAGTTTTGTAATGCATTTTGGGGATGAAGACCTGCCAATTTATGAGATAAATGGAATTAAATTGAAAAGCTGCTCCATTGCCAAGGACTTGGGTGTTCTTGTAGATCCCGAATTAAAATTTACTAATCATATTGAACATGCAGTCAACAAAGCATTTTCAGTGTTGTTCGCTATTTTTCGAAATGTCCATACTGAAAATCCTCTGATTCTCAAACGGCTTTATAATGCTTACGTATTACCTCATCTAGAATACTGCTCTGTTGTTTGGAGTCCTTTTCTCAAGAAAGACATACGAAAACTAGAGAAAGTTCAACAAACGTTTACTCGAATACTATATATGAGGTGCCGACGAAAGTTCAACTTTGTTGAAATGCCCACTTCGAGACTCGACTCAGGTCCTTGGCAATGAAGAGTTTAGAACATAGACGTGTATATCTAGATCTTGTCTTTGCTTTTCGACCATTCGCAAAGAGCTTAGACTCAGTGCGAGTAAGTACTGGATTTTCAGACCGACTAGTAGAAATGGTGGGTTTAGCATTTATTATTCACGTATTTTGAGAAAACGTTTTCGCTTTGTGTTCAACAGTTTTTTTTATAAAATTCCTCGCTGGCTTTGTGCATTACCGGGTACCCCGCTGCAAGCTCCCAGTGTAGCTGCTTTTAAACGCAGAATTAATGCACTCAATTTAATGCAAGTAAAATATTCTAAGATTACTTAATTTCCTCTGCTATAGTTGATTTGGATTTTGTTTTGAGTGTTTTGTGTTTACTAATATATGTCCAAGAGCTAGCTTCCCCAAAAATCAAACCACTTTGATTCTCTCCTTAACTTTATTTAGCCTCACTCATAGGCCTATCGTACAAATGCTTTTATACTTTGCTGCCTTTCTATCCATGGGAGCGATGTAAGAGAAAGCTCAAAGAGGTTAACCCGCCTGGGCACGCATGGATTAGCCCATTCGCTCAGGTGTCTTTCTCTTTTTTCGCTTGAGAGTGATAACTCAAAGGTTATTCACACCATGGCTGCAGCATTACAACCATCCTTCCTCATCATACTTACATCTATAATCCTATTGAGTGTCGGCTACAAATTTTTTTTCCTATATAGTTTGATCTTTCGAGAAATTAGCTCTTTATTTCTCATCATTTATTTTAAAGCGAGACAAACTTATTGAACTATCACGTTCGTTTGGCGCATCATTGTATGCAGAGATAAAATAAAATAAAAATAAATAATGGGTTATATCAAGCTAACATGTATAAAAACGCCTACACAGATAGCGGTGGTAATCAGTATGCCCGTCCTCGCCAAAATCGTCGAAGAAATGGACGTTGAACAACGCCAATCCCCCATCGTCCAGGCTCTAATGGCCATCGACACTAAGCTAGATACTTTTCTGAACCTATTCGCGGCCTTGGACGCTCGCCAGCATCGTTTGGAGGCGGCGAACCAACCGCGAACATCCTCCTGCGTATTCTGCCCCGAGGGCGAAGGCAGCCATCCGTCGGGCCGCTGTCCTAAATATCCCGACCCCGTGTCACGCGCGGTCCAGGCTTCGCGCCTGGGCCTATGTGACCGGTGCCTCCGGAGGAGCCACGACGAACCGTGCGATGCGAGCTGCAACCACTGCCGGAAGCCGCACAACACCTTGTTGTGTCCGATACGCGGCTTCCGGCACACTCCAAAACACCTACCGCACAAAAGAAGAGAACTCTAAAAAGTATGTTTTGAGTTTTTAAGTTGTTTTAAGTTTTCTATGTTTTATGTTCTAATTTCACACGTTAATTCTAATGGTTGTACGTTTATTCTTACGTTCGTAGGTGTAATCTCATGGTTGTATGTTTTCTTCCATATCCGTATTTTCCTTTCTTTATGATTTCATGCCTGTATATCATACTAAATTTCGTCGCCCCCGGGAGTGTCGCCGAAATGGCGACCTCTTCGGCAGAAGCCCGATACGGTTGTTTACCCAGCCCCCCTGCTATAAATGCAGGGGGCTGGGAGTGATAGGCATGTCTGTTCTGTAAGCATTGTTTTGCACCCGGTCCAGGTAAAAAGGGCATTTGTTACATATTTGAATAAATCCTTTCATATTAAAGTCTGAACCACCGTTTGGCACATGCCCGAAATACGTCTAAATCCCTTTTGCCAAAACTGTCTGATGTGTTTTTGCTGATTTTAGATTTTCGAGCTAATTCTTCTGCTCCAACAGCAAGCTTCACACTTTTTGAATGAACTGGTCACAAGTATCACTGGAAATTCTTGGCATCCGCTTCCATGCGCGTTGTGTTCATTCGCTTGCGTTTGCGGCGAATATGGGTGTCGGTGCCCTTCGCACGCAGACACGTGACTGATCCTGTCGCCGCTATACGCTCAGTTTGGAATTTAAGCCATGCATGAGTTCATCCTCAAAAACTAGTGATGACGGTTTTAAGGGGTTTTGATGACTTTGAATGGCATTTTGCATGTTGACTTACTTTTTTTACTATTCGTGTCTTCTGAAGAGTTTGTTAAATTTTTCTTACCTTGGAATAGCCATTCGAGGAGACCGCAGACCAGTTAGCGCTCTACCTAGGGGTCACCCTTCGCGTTTGCCCAGAGTTCCTGACCGATTCGTTCTCCTTGGGTTAAGTTGGTCAGCCAAGCCCTGGTAGTTTTTGCCCTCATGACTGCGTTCGTGTAAAGAAAAAACAATCTATGCAGAGTCCCTTCTTGGAGAAAGAGAACCATCTGATAGATCCAGCAAGGGACAAAGTGATCCAATCCCATCATTACGTTGCGTTTTTCCTTTGATTTTTTGTTTTGGTGCACTTTTGTGTATTAAATAAATGAACAAAGAGAGAAAAAGGAAGGCAAGTTCAAAAGTTTGATAAACATCTCAACTCCGAACATTTGATTGCAGTATCTGCTGGGACAGTCCAAAACCAACATTATATTAAGCCACTGTAAACGAACGATCTAAACTGCAGCATAGAATACAGGAAGCCTCAATTTTTAAAAGGCAATAATGATCGATGTAGTGGCAGAACACAAATATACTCGCGAAGTACAACTTTTTTTACTCGTTTTAATCTTTCCGAAAATTGTAAGGACTGTCTTACTGAATCACTCGATCGCGAACAGGATATCCATGTAGCTGAACTACCAACTTAATTCAAAATTTTTAAAAATTCTCTTTTGCCAAGTTTGCGATAAAGGGGATAAATAGTGGCTGACCGCAGTTTTAGCAAACGCAAAATGTGCTAGCTCTGAGTTTTGCTTTTAAAGCAAGATTTGGAAATAAAGCACTAGATTGCTTACGATCCGTCTACCATTTCAGGCTCTAAACATTCAGATTATCAAGACGCATGCGGTTTGAGATAAAGACGCCTCAAGGCCTTGATGTGGAACGTCTGTAAAAGAGGTTTTAGCAAATTTCCTTGCACTTTCTCTGTTTCTTGATGTCTTGTTCAGGAAACGGGCTCCATGAGGATATGGACAATCCTGATGAGGTACACTAGTTATTTTATTACGGATTTCATACTGATTCGAGGTGCGAAGAGAGTGCACCGTCTAATATTGAGGTGTTTGATGATTTCTTACCGTTTTTACCCTAGACATCAGCCCCGAGAACTAGGGAATCTATAAAGTGTACAGATACATGATCGTACTTCTTCATGTATGAGCTATATGATCACGCGTGCGAGAGTAGTTCAGGACTTCTAGGGGCGGAGTTTGCCATTTTACTCCATTCATTTCTTTCTTTATTTCTGGCCAAAAACGAAAAATGCACGACTGAATGTTCGAAGTGTCAAGCACATGCTAGAATAGGTGAAGAATTTTTTTTTTTTTGGGGGCCGAGATACGATTTGAAGGAAAATTCCGTTTTCGACTGCTATCGGATTATAGCTCAAAACTTCACCTGTGCAGATTATTGAGAGCCAGCTAGTAAAACTTGCTTTGCTCCGTCGAATGCACATCAATTGATGGAAAGATACAAAAAGACTGCGGTTGTAATGAAAACGGTAATTTATAGACGCCTTAATATTTAGTTCAAGGTTAGAACACAAAAAGGATAAAGGATTCGGCGTCTTCATTATCCTTATCATGTGCCAAACGCGCTCGACTTCATAGAAGAGGCACAATGTGCGAGCCTTTCACAGAAAGTTGTGGGGTCCAGGTTGCCAAGTCAGTGTTTGTATCAATTACCCTGGTATTATTTTAGGCCTAGAAGGGTGGAAGGCTTGGTTGGACCATGGGCAGATTGAACCTGGGTCCGATCTGATCATAGCGGCTGCTCATACCACTGCGCCACTCGCCCTCACTTACAACACCGGAGCTCTCAATATCAAAGTGGTAGTAGTTGTAGGTATCGCCGAGATGCGTAGTTATATACCCTAATTCTACGCGTACAAGGCGCACCTTTTTCGATTTGTCGACTAAATCAAATATTCCAATATTAGAAGTTATTTTTCCGAGTTGTCGAATGAACGAATTGCTTAAATAAAAAACTTCTTCATTCGACTATTCGAGTTCGTTTAATATGATGTTCCGACATGCACACCTGTCGAAAATGGGTATAGAGCGGTTATCAACAGAGTCAAGCAAGGGGTGTGGCACACGATCGCTGGTTGCGACCCCCCCCCCTGATTGCTGTCTTATTAAAACCCCCACCCTAAATTATATGCCTAAGATAGGCCCTGTCATGATGGACAACATATTCATAATGAGCATGTCAATCAACGCCTGTAGACAAAGTTTGAGCGAATTCTGAAGATTCAGGATATTAGGCTATCTAAGTAAAATGGTCATTTTCCAACATAATTATTGTTTCAAAGGTGAATTAGCTGTTCGTTTTTGCACTCAAGACAAAGCACTACTCCTTCTTTGTCCATCTCACAAATTTTGCTTCAAAAGACCTCTATGGAATTAGAAGCCAACCAAAACCTCATTTTTCCCATTTTTCGTTTTTAATGGCTGTGCTCTCACCAAATATTACTTAGAGCTAAGAAGACGAATCAGGCTCAAAATATTCTTATGGAATCTACGAGGTTTAGGCTATCGATTCATGTCAATGCTGCTCGCTAAAAATGTTTTTTTTGATATAGTTAATGGGGTGTGGCACCACCTCTAGAAAGCTGTGGCAGCCACAGCTTTTAAGGGGGTGTGCCACACCCCATTAACTATGTCATAAAAACATTTATAGCAAACTGTATTTATATGGATCGATAGCCTAGATCTCCTATTTTTTACAGCGTGATTTGAGCCTGATTCGTTTTCTTTGCTCTGAGTAATAGTTGGTGAAAGCACAACCATCAAAACCGGAAAATGGGAAAAATGAGTTTGGTTGGCTTCTATTTCTATGGAGGTCTTTTGAAGCGGGATTTCTGAGATGGACAAAGAAGGAGTAGTGCTTTGTCTTGAGTGCAAAAACGAATAGCTAATTCACCTTTGAAACAATAATCATGTTAGAAAACGACCATTTCACTTAGGTAGCCTAGTATCTTGGATCTTCAGAATTTGCTCAAACTTTGTCTACAGAGGTTAATTGACGTGCTAATGTGGCGTGCCACACCCAACGCTTGACCCTGGTTGTCCATTGTCAAAAGTATTGCAGTTTGCTAATGTTTTTTGCAAATTGAAGCCCTGCTTATTGCCTGCTACGAATGAGATACATTGCTGGCCATAACTAAAGCAACCCTGCCAATTCTATGTAATTTGTCTTGTCTTGAACGAAGTTGACTAAAAAGCAGTTATTTTGTGCATAGAACGGCTTCGAATTTTACTGATTTTAATAGAAAAAAAAGTTGAGAAATGTGAGAAAAAAAGTGTCAAAAGATGGTCACAGCTAAAGGGCCACCTTCTCCTTCAAGCTATTTTACATCCTATGAACCTTGGTCACAGCTAAAGAGCTTTCCCTTCAAGCTATACTACATTCTCTGAACCTAATATCTTTTACACAGTTACAGCATAAAAATATGAAAAATATATTACAGCTGAGAGCTGTCCCCTTTTCAAAAGGATTTCTACTTTATCCCTTGTCAGATTGCATAAGAATCACACTGTTTCAAAAACTGCTTCTTCACCAAATTTTCTAGACCTTACCCAACTTTGATGAAAATCCTGATCTGCTGAGTCTTCGCGATGGATGCGGTGAAGGATTGAGCCAACATTGTAGTCGTTGATATTGATGAACAATCCATAACCTCATCTTTACTAAACGAGCTTTCAGACCACAGAAGTTGAGTTCTGATGCCCGAAAAGCTTTTTCATGTGCTCAACGTCGGCTGTACAACAAAAAATTCGTGCGCATTGCAGACATTGCCGCAAGCTTTAGAATTTCAATTACGCTCAGGACGATCTCAATTCAAAAAGAGATGGTCTCGTATTCCTAAGAGTTCCATACGATTTGACTTTATGAAGTTGAAAGGAGTAAAATTTGGAATCTTGTTGGATTTACTGCACAGCTGATTTGCAGATAAAA